GTGCTGTGGACTTTGTGTGGCAAACAGACACAGGGTAGAACTTTGAATGAATGCTTGTGTATTTAGCAACTCTCTTGGGAGTAGAGCAAAAGCCCCTAGATGTCCAGCAATACATAGACTCATAAGTGAAACATGCAGCTTGCCCTGCTGAAAATGGGATTAAAATAAGGGCTTTTCTCATTTTTAGCTGCTAAAAAAAAAAGGTTTAGTTTGTAAATTTAATTCAGTTTCATTTGTAAATTTACTTCAGTTTCATTCATAAATTTAGTTCAGTTTTATTTGTACATTTCAAAGTACTTGGCTCAATACTGAAGAGAAGGAAATGTACAGCTAAGCTGTAGGTTGCTGTGACAGGAAGGGTCAGCGCTGTCACTTCAGGGTATTTTATAGCCCTTACCTGGTGAAACAGTTTGTTTTCATGATACAACTACTTTTTGCTCCATGGTTGAATGCATTAAAATAGTGATACTGGTTTTATCTTCCCTTAAGGAAGTATCTGCTATTGGGAAATGCAACCCTGAGAAAAACCCAATTTCATTTGTTAAAACAGAGGTAAATGGGAACAGGGATGTGTGTGGTGGGGTGTCAGCAGCTGACTTAGGGGGATTTACAGAGCTATTTGCCTTTTTTAAATTTAAATGATCAGTTTTGTTTTTCCTCCTACTTAACATGTTTTGCAACAAAGTGTGTTGCATACCATTTGCATTTGTTAAGTACTAACATTTATCAAAGGTTGGCTAATTTTGGTGCATTATTGCAGGTCTTTGGGGAGCAGTGCAGATGCATACTGTCAGTATCAAAACTTATGTCAGGTGAAATTCAGAATTCAAATGTTTTTGGTTTTAGAAAATGTGGATTTTACTCCAGAGCAGTTGCCAAAAAGGAACTATTTAAAATAAGTGTTTCAGCTAAATATTAAAAATAGTAGCCCTGCCTTTTAGTTGCCATAAATAATGCATTAAAGGACTTTTCCACAGTGAATTGGGCTTTTTTCTGGATACTTTTCCTAGCAGGGGATATTTTTCCTGATTGAATGCCAAGTCAGTATCAAAGCAATGAATTGGAGCACTTAACTGAGCACAGGACAGCAAAAATTGAAGTCAAACAGTCAATAAAGTGTGAAATCTTTTAAATCATGTAATTCACATCCCAGTTTTCTCTCCTCCTGCTGCCTCTTACCAGCTCAAAGCCCCCAAAGCCCCAGCCAACACTTGTGAAGTCTCATGGAGTAAAATCCTGACAGGGCAGCACTTGTTGGGAGGTGGCAGCAGAAGGGCAGCTTTGATGTTTCCCTGACTGGCATGTGCAGCTCTCAAAGGACATGTATGAACTTCTTGGGAACATGGTGATGGGATCAGGTGAAGTGTTTGGCCCAGAGAAAGGTAGAAGCACTGAGACAGCATTGATGGAGCCAGGGATGAAGCCAGGCAGGGCTTACAGGGAGGAGTAATGGTGTTTCCATCACAAGCCAGGTGAGATAGGTGGACAGAAGGACTTGCAGGCATGAAAACCTCACAGGGATTCACACTGATAAGGGACAAAGTTAATTAGCTCTGACTCAGTTGTCAGATTAGTGCTTGTTTAAAGCCTCCCCTCCGGGGCTGCTCTCTACATGATACTGTACATGAGACTGCAAGTTTGTTTTCAGTGGAAATTTTGCTTTATTTGAAAGCATGAAAAAGGGTGATGGTAACTGAGGACACGACTGAAGTGTTAGACCTTAACCTGCTGTTGAGGTGAGCCATTACAGAGACCACAGATACACCAAACAATAACATCTGCTTTACACTCCCTGCTGTGTTTTCACTTTGCACAGAAGTTAGAAATTGTATTTTTTCCTTAAAAGGAGACTTAAAAACAAAAACTAAACTTGAATTTAGAAGTCCAGCTTCAACCTTTCAGACACTGCTGTCAAGAACAGTCCATGCACTCTATGCTTGCATTCTCTTCTGGGTCTGTTAAGATCTTTTTGTCACAAGCCTTTCCTTCTTCAAGCGTCAAAACCTGTGGTCTGGTGGGGTTTTGATCTCTTACAAGAAGGAACTTTTGCTCACAGAACAGACAGATGACTGGTTCCTCTAGTGTGCATGACCTTATAAAGTGTTCAAGTGGAAAAAAATGGTTAGTTCATGACTTGTGTTTGTGATTCATTATTTCCTCTGAGACATTACTCTGGTCCAGTGTCATTTTCTTATATATATAGCTCCAAAGCTGTAGAGTGGAGTAGCAGTAAGTTCACTGGTGCTTCATTCAGTTGCTTGCAAGTTAGTTTAGATACTTACAGGGTTGTGAGGTAAAAGATTTGACATAAAATTGATGACAAAATACAGTTTCAGGGGAAAGGTGAGTGGGGCTCACTGAGCAAGAAGCTTCTTAGTTATCTAAGAATTTCCAGTATTTGCATTTCTGGCCAGCCTGTACAGAGGGTGGCAACATAAGTGGGATTTTTTTGCCTTGGCAGGACAATGACTGGTGTCTGCCTCCATAAACCTTGTGGGTATCTGCAGCTTAGACATGTTTTAGAGCTTGTGTGGTTGTGAAGATTCAGTTAATATTCAGTAATCTCCAGATCAATTTCTAATTAAAGGAAGATAGTATTACTAAGAGTCAAACTTACTAAAAATACATTTTATCTGTAAAGACTGAAGGCAAAGCTGCCTTTGTCTAATAAAATCAGTATTGAAACAGTTAAAGTGATCTTTAGTCAACTCTCTTAACCCCGGGGTAGCAGAGCCCCTTTCCAGGAATGCAGGGTGGAGAGGAAATCCACTGCTTTCTCCCCTTTTTTTATCCGTTATTCACACCAACTCAAGCTCTTATCAGGAGCTGATGTATTTAGTGACTCCCTTTCCTGACTAGATGAGTTGGAGTCAGTTGGTTTTTGAAAGAGCGACTCAGAGGCCAGAGCATCAGCAGGACAGGGAGCCCAGCCAGGCGGGGCAGAGCTCCTGGGGAAGTTCCTCTGATCACCCTCCCAGAGCTCCTCTCCTGCACAAGGACCCCCAGACTCTTCTTGGCAGGATCAAAGGGATTACCTGGGAAACTGAGGCAGCAGCAGACCCATCCTAGGGATACTCCTTAGAGCAGAGAAGTTCAAGGTTGGTAAGTTTGTTTGCAACTTGTACAAAGTACAGCACGGCTTGTAAAGTGTAAAGGATCCTGTGGGCAGTTTGGGTTGCAGTGTGCTTGGCATTATCAAATAAAAACCTTAGTTAAAATTTAAGACAGTGTTAACATGGAAGTGGTTTTAGCTCTTACAAGCAATTTATTTTGAGTTATTACCTAGATCTGGTCATTATCAAATGTTATTTATCAAACTTGAACATCTGATATGCTTTAACCAAGCTCTCCTAAATATTTAGAGGTACGCTTGATCTTTGAGAATGATTTTATTCCTGATAGTGCCTTACTTCAGAGAGATGTAAGGCTGTAAGAACTACAAGAAGCCTTTAACAAAGTCACTAAATCCCTTTTAATAGATGGGGCAGAGGAGGGAATGGGGTTGAATTGTTACAGCAACTTGAATTGGTGCTGAAGCTCAGATTTTTGTCATTACTGAGGTTTCTGCACTTGCCTGCTAAATAGATATTCGGCCTGTTTTGTCTACATCTAAAATGTTTGGTTACATTCCTCAGGCATAAGTCTGATTATTTTGCTAGTATTTACTTTTTTTCATGTAGTTAATCACACTGGCTCTCATAATGTATTAATAACAAATTCATTTACTATATTCTGGAAAATTCTGTGAACTGCAATTCAGATATTGCTTTGAAAGTTCTATTGGCTTCACATTTTCAAACCTAATTTAAACTACTGCATGGATTAAAAGTTGTCACTTCTTCCAAATTCCACACAGTAAAAACTTTTGAGTCTCAGAGTTGCATTTATGTAGGCAAATCCAGGAGCCAGTCTTTAATTTTTTACTCATCTCATGCTCTAGCCTTAAGTTTGCCAAAACAGCAGTTGCAGGGCTTGTTTCACTAGTGCCTGCAGAAGTGCAACCAGATTCATGTTGAAATGGAAATTTTATTATAACTCCAGGGACACACAACAATTTTACAGGTATATTGGTCTGAGCTTCAGTGCTGAGACTAAAAGATCAAGATTTAAGTTCCTTCTCCAGCAGGTTCAGGTTACTTTTTTTTCAGTGGCTAGTTAATTTACACCATCCTTTCTCTTTAAATATTTTAAATATAAAGAAGTTTTCAGACCTGCTGTGTGGGGTAGATTAAAGTGGATTATGCTGTGAACATGAGTCATTACAGATCATTCTACAGATGAAGCTGTGCTCTTTGGGTGGATACTGAAACTGAGAGGGTTTGACACATTCAAATAGCTGCAGGACTTCCCCTTTTGTTCCTTTCCAGGAAAGGATCATTTCAGCTGCTCACCCAGTAATGCTGTTAAAACTGTCAATTTCTAACCTGTATCTAGACATTTGGGATGAAGACTGCAGCAGCTTTAGCAGGTTTTCAGCTCTTGGAAAAGCAGATGAGGAATGTGTTAATCATTGCCATCAGCACTGACTGCTCCTCCTTTGGGGCAATCAAGGGGTTGCTGTCTTGTGAACATTCCCATTGTGGTTGATTGTGACTCAGCTTCTCTTTTTCCCTCCCTCTGACTCAAGGATTTCACCAATGGCCTGATGGAGGCTGGCAGGTCCTCACGTTCCTCACCATGCTGTGCCTCTCCTGGAGATGGGCAGAATTAAAGCATCCTCAGACCCACAGCAGCCCCAGTCCCTGTGAATCTGTCCCAGTTGGTCTCACATGGCTGTTTTGTCAGGCACTGGGCTGCTGGGTACAGCTTGGGTAGGACAGAGCAGTTGAGGGGCACAATAACATTAGCCCTGCATGTGTATCTTAAAACAACTACTGAATAATGCTAATTTTAAATACTGGTTTCCTGAAGCTTCTATGAAGTGGAAGTGGTTAAACTTAAGACCAGGTTTCTCAACTGGTACCTGAACCTTCTCATTTATAGGCTTGTGCCAGAAACAGCTAATCACTGCCACAATGACATCTCCAAGCTCTGCCCAGCATCCAGCAGCTGAGAATGCCTGCAGAATCACACTCGGACAAGTTAACCAGGTAATTATCTCTCCCACTTATCTTCACTGCTTTCTCCTCACTGAAGCAGTAATTTCTTCCATCAAATCAAAGCTCTCCAAGTACATTTAAGTAAGAATTTAGCATGATGGAGTAGGGCTTTTATCCTGAGGAGCTGTGTTAGCTTTCGCTATCAGATCAATGATTTATGAACATTTTAAAAGAGGAGGAGGGGAAAAAGCAGTTCAAACTGCCCATACAAGAAATTATGTAATGCCTATTTTTTGTGCTGGAGCTATAATTGAAGAATTCCACGTACAGCATTCCTCCTAGTACTGGACTATCTGTGACAGTTGTACTGGAGTTTTGTAACCTTGTGTGCTGAACTTTGTCTAGCCAGTAACTGATCCCTGTGCCTTTTTTTGGAGTCAGTTTAGGTAAGTACTGAAAGTGTTGTACTCCCATTATCAACTAACTACTCCTGGAGTGTCCCTGGAACAAGAAATAAACGTAGCTGTGAGCCAAGGTCAGCTTGGCAGGTGTGTGGTTTGAGTATGGCTCAACACCATGGTAACAGCCAGATAAATTTGCAAACAGTAAGTAGAAAAAGTCTGGTCTAAAAATCAAGAAGGTTTCTCTAAGACAGGCATCCCACCTTCCAGAGCCAATTAATTGTAAAAAGCATCTCTACAATATAAGGGGATGTGGCAGGAGTGGAAATAAGCTGATGGGAAGTTAAAGAGATCCTCCCATTTGAGGCTTAATTTAGAAGCTTTGAAATGTAGCCAAGTCCTGTGCAGGACTGATGTATATACTTATTTATTCAACTCACTCTGCATTAAAAAAAATAAGTAAATAGGCTCTGCTATTAATAACAAAGTATTGATTGTCAACACTCAGTGTCCTAGGCCATGCAGAATAAACACTTCTATTTTGGCTGTACTGTAGTAGCTAAAGGCCCATTTTAAAATGATCAAACTAACTAGGTTGCTTCTTTAATCAGAAAGAAATGTATAAGAAGTTACTTCAAAATCAATTTGAGAGTGGTCATTAGAGAGATGAATGAATGCAAACACATAATTTCATCTCATTAAAAACCATGTGCTGATGCAAGCACTTATTTGAGTTGTGCTGAGCTTCCTAGAAAAAGCTGTTCTTGAGAAAGAGACTCGGGGCTGGACACAAGCTGTTCTATTTGAGTTTGAAAATGCATTTAACAAACACTGAGAAACATGCAGAGCAGACACATTCACAGAGGAGATTAATTTTTTGCCATGTTAGAAAACAGTGGAACAAATAACCTTGCCAAGATACTGTCTGATACCTGAGTGACAAATAACATTTGTGAGGAGCAACCAAAACCTGCTCTTACCTTGTGCAGGAAAATGATGCTGCAGCTCAAACTGTCTCTTGAGGAGATGTTGCAGGGTTGCAAGCAGGCTCTGCTCCTTGGAAAAGGAAGTGGAGATTGTAATTGCATTTATATAGGCAGAAAGGAGGGGTGGGTCTGAGACACAGGTGAACCCACCTAACATTGACAGGTGAAGGCTTTTACTAGCTAGCACAGATTACATGCCTTGAGAGCATAATCCTTGTCAAAGTGTGGAGGAAACAGCAATGAACATCATGTGCTGAGGACTGGGCTTTCTGGCCTGTGACAGATTGAAATATCTTGCTGTATGAGTATCTGATAGACAAGGAGAACAGAAGAAGATATTCCATGTGGGAAACGTGCATTCATATACAATATTGTACACAACCGTGTAGCATTCGGAGAACAGCGAGGGCTTCCTGACATTTTTATTGAGCACAAGGTGTCAGATCACGTGGTGGAACTCTCCTAGGAATTGTTATCATTCTTGTGGAGTAGGTGAAGTAGCAATGTAGAGGGGAAGTAGCTATTTAAAACTCGCTGCTGTTCTATATAGCATCCTCTGTCTCATCTGGTACTCTTGGGTGTGTGGGTGAAACCCAAAGGGCTTTTGGAGCAGTTGCATCGTTCCCAGGGTGCTTTATATTTTATGTAATAAATTTTAATTGATGAGTGAGATCCACAGAAAATACAGGTTCTGATCCTTGGTGTTAATTAACAACACTTTGTGTTTAATGCAGTCTTATTATTAATGTGCCTGTTCATGGATCCTAATAAATCCATTCTCCCCAAGGGCTGTGCAGAGCCGGTGGGATTTGTTCACTGCACTAATTGAGAAAATTCAGGCATGCTGCTCTTGAAGTCACAATCTGAATACACCACCATTGCTCCTAAAGCTGTGACTCTCTACATTTGGTTAGTCACTGCCTAGGACTCCATACCAAGGGTCTGAGTTTCCAGTCTTCCCTCACAGGATGAATGGCATCAAAGTTAATGAGACAGTGCGAGTGATTAAAACCTTTAAAGCTGGCTGCCCACATTCCTTGGATTTTTTTGTTTGGTTTGTTTTGCACTTGAGTCAGAATGACTGTGCTGATTTTCAGTCCTTCTAACTTCTTTTTAAGCATCTGTCCATGCAGATTACCTGTAAAAAAGACTACCAGCCTTCAGCACGTTAGCCTGAGGCAAGCAGTGTTCCCCCATGACCTCCAACTCATACCAACCTTGTCAGCTCTGTGCTTGGTTTGAGTCTTACCCAGGTTGACTTGGGCATCTTGGGTTTAGTAGCTGTGATATGCAGGCACACGTGCCAGGGTGACCAGGGTGACCTGCTTTTTCTCAGCAGGGTACTGCTTCTTGTCATTCAAAACAAAATTCTGTGCTTTGTGTTTTAGGTGAGACCCAAACTGCCACTTCTGAAGATTCTGCAGGCTGCAGGTGCCCAAGGTGAAACCTTCACGCTGAAGGAGGTGGGCTCGGTTCCCAGGCACTGGAACTGTGCCTGTCCCTGCTTGTTTGGGAGGTGGCTCTTTGTGAGGAAGGGATGGGACTGGCTATTTATTTTTCTACACTTTGAAGCCCTGCTTGAAAAATAAAAATACCTTACCTGGAGGGCTGTTGTGATTTGGTTGATCATGAATTGTTTTGAGAGCTCCTGGAGGAATTGGAAGAGGAGTGTGAAATATGGGGTTGCTGTGTTCTTGAGAGAGTGCAGGAGATTCTGTTCAATTGTCTTGCTCTCTGCTCAGTGCATGAAAACCTTAAAAATTGAATTCCAGTTGATATTTTTCTTTTAACTTTCTTTTGAAATGGCTTGTCAGCTAAACCTAAGAGACCCTGTGAATTCATTTATTTTGAGATTAAAGTGCAATATGTGTACAAGATTAAAAAAAATGACACTGACTGTGATTTACAAGAGTACCCTGTCTGGAAGGAATTAAATGCAGTGGTTTTTCATTATGAATGTGTCAAATATTCCTGCAGAGCCTTGTGACTTATTTTAAACACTTATGCATTTAAATAACTTATTTAGCTTCTAAAAATTTCTGCAAAAACAAATTGAATGGTTTAAATGGAGGGAGTTGAGTATTAAATGCAGGTTACTTGTATAGATTAACATTTTAACTCAGGTAAGTCAGGTTTTTCTGCAGTGAATGGAGTATTGTTAGCACTTTTTGGTGACACTGTTATTCAGGAGGGTCACTTTGCTGGGGAACCTGCCTATATTGTGCACTTTGCTTTCTCCTCTTGTACTCTGAATTCCTCACTGTAGCTGGCAGTGTCTGCCAGCTCTCAGAGGATAATTCCTCTCCGTCCTTCTTTGCAATACTAATGCACTTATTTTTGCATCTTGCAAACTGTCTCCTGAAGGACACAGCAGTGTAACTTGTAGTCATCCTTTAGTAATAGCTTCTTCTTTTAACTGGGGATGCCTTCTGCCTCCTCATTTCCTTCTCTTCTTTACTCTGAGTTGAACAGCAGCAGCCTCCATCTGCAGCTTTCACTGAGGCAAACTGCTCAGATAAATGTGTTATCACCCATGTCCTATTTTGTTTTAATGTGAGGTAGCAGAGTGACTTCTGTTTATCCATCTTCCACCCCATTTTCTTGCTTGTCAAGGGTTAATAGTTACAAACCTTATAGCAATATGGTAAAGCATAACTCTCCCTTAGTTGGGAGACACTGACAAATTGCTGATGTGCATTAAAAGCAGGTAGTGTTTGACTCACACTGTACAGCATAGCAGGGGGCAAGTATTGTAAACTCAAGCAAATTCACAGGGTCATGGGTGGTTTGGTTTCAGCTGCAGATATGGCTAATGGTATGGTTTTTATCCACAGGTTATGCATTACCTAGGACAGTATATAATGGTGAGGCAGCTATATGACAAAAGACAGCAACACATGGTCTATTGTGGAGGAGATCAGCTGGGAGAACTGCTGGGACTGGAGAGCTTCTCTGTAAAAGATCCAAGGTAGGAAAAAAAGTGACCTTTAACGTATATTGTATTGTAGAAGTTGCTGAGACAGGAGACTCTTGGTGTCACTGCTTCTGTTCACTGTCACATAAACCTCCGTGAATACCAAGTACCCTGCTCAGTGGCTTATTGGTAATGCATTTGACAAGTTTGAGTTTCACTCCTTTGTTTTGAGGAGCCAGTTCTGAATAGTCCAGGCAGTGAACTGCTTGACCTGACATCCTCTCCCCCTTTTATTTCTGCGTCTTCTTAGGCCCTTGATCTCAGACTTAAGCTAAAATCTGCATCTTTCAGTTAAATTCTGAGCTAGACTTATTTGTAGAAAGCATTGAGGAGTGGCAACAAACCCACTGCAGTTTCCAGTGTCTGTCTGGATAATAAAAGATCATTTCTGTCCCTGGTTTAAAAGGGTAATGCTGTTTGGTTTTGGGAGTATAGTCAACTGTCACCTTCTTTCCCACAGCCCAGTCTATGATATGTTGAAACGGAACCTGACTTCTGCTGCAATGACAGGTAGGTTTATCACAGTATGGGCAAGTATATTCAATATAGTGTTGATGTAACTTGGGTAAGTAATGATATGCAAGAAAGAAATGTTTCTGAAGTTGTGACAAACTGTTAATGAAAGCTTTAACGAGACAATCTCTTTGAGTATGTGTCTTTTCTGTGTGTCCACCATTAGTAGCTGTGATATGAAATAATTTAGCTCTTTGAGTAACGTGGCTGCCTATAACCAGTGGCCAAACCTCGGAGCAGCAGACATACTCTGTCTGGAAGCACACTGACAGATGTACAAATCAACGTGGCTGAAGTATCCCATCCAAATCATTATTGATTTCTCAGTCTTTCCTCAGTTTCATAACGTGCTGAGACTTCTCGCTCTCACCTCATTTTATACTTTCATAGTCTCGAGACTGAACGTAGAGTGCTGGAAACCCAGCCTAGTTCTACAAGCCAAAGAGGTCTGGACTTTAATCAAACACTTGAACCTTTAAAGGTCACTGTCACTTTCCCAGCTCATAAAAGAAATCAAATCTATCTACATCAAAAGTCCTTCAGTCATAGATTAAAATTTATTCTTAAATTAATCTCAGCTGATGGCTTTCTTGCAGCCAGTTTTCATTGTACGGCTGGTAATCTTCATTTGAAATAAATAAAAAAAACCCCTTCTGGTGAAACTACAAGTGTGCACATCATGAAGGAGCTGCACTGTGAGAGTTGTGGAGTCTTGTGCCATACTTCCTGGTGTCTCTAAGCAGATAATATGGACTTAGTTCTTCATAAGGGCTTAGTCTGGTTTTGCACACGTACATAAAAGCTTGTGCAAATTTAGAAACTGAGAAAACATAGCCCTGAACTGCTTAGTCCTCTGCTTTGAGCCATGGATTGGTGCCTCTGAGGTCCCTCTCCTTTATTTATGTAGAAGAACCTCCTTAAGTGGACTCTTGTCTGAACATATTACCTACAGGATAACTGTGTGAGTGCCGTTTCCCTCGCTGGTGGTGCCCTGGCTTCTTCCCTATAGGCAGTGTATGTGGAGAGCAAAGGATCCCAGCGAAACACTCTCTGCTCTGCTGCCCTGTCCCCTCCTACTTGGTGTTTGTTTGTGTGTGTGCGTGTGGCTGGGTGTGCATGTGGATGGTCCAGTCATGGTGTAACTATTTTTAAACCTGCCAAAGGAAATGCTGTTCCTTTAGGGAGATGATCACTGAGTTATACCACCGTGTCTGCATGTGTGTGTGTGTGTGTGTGTGTGTGTGTGTGTGACCACAAAACGAAACAAGCTTGGCAGACCAGACCTTTGACAAATACATAGGAAAGATGACTCTAGGTGGTGTTTTTTTCCTTCATCACAACTTGGGAATAACTAGAAGTGCCACAGAGCTTAACGAGGTCTTCATGTTTAGTGTTTTGTAATAGCTGCTTGTATTCATTAGCCACATCAGTGCTTATCAGCACATCATTTTGCAGATCTCAGACACTTCTTTGAAGTACACTTGTAGAAGGAAAAGTGACTACAGTACATCTTGATAATAAAGACTAAGCTCTTACATAATGCTCTTCATCAGATGCTGTCCTTACTTGGCTAACTTTCACTCTTCAGTAGGAATCACGTGAGGTGTACTTAGGAAAACCTCATTTTAAGGACATTTTATGTTCAGTTCCTAGTTGGCTTGGAAAAAAGTCTTCCAATAACTGGAATGTCTTTTCACAGTTTTTAAGGCTAGTTTGCATTATTTATAAAATGTTGGAAGGTTAAGTCTTCACCTCTTCTAATGCCCTGGTGGAGCCAGAACAATTATGAATGAGCCAAATGGCTTCTGTTTTCCTTCAGGTATTAAATAATCAGTGACTGCAGAAGCTGTAGAGTGATGGAAGGGAAGAAAGGAAAGCTGAACTAATGCATGGAGAGCAAAGAACATGGGATAGAGCCATGGCATTTTGTGGTCCTGGGTTCTGGTCCATTTTATAGAGCACTTTGTGGTCCACTCTTCTGCCAGTTTTCAGTGTCTTCATATCAACGACATGATTCATGATGTGAATCAGAGTGTTCCTGTCTGCCTGGCAGGCATTCAGCAGGGAATTTCTCTGCTAAATGGAAAGGGGAGCAAGCAGGAGCCATCCTTGCATCTTTTGTTCTCCAGCAAGTCATTCTGTGTAAAGGCTGGACTTCCTAAGTGCAGCTCTTCTATCATGTAGAAAGATTTCTGTTAATTTGTTTGTTCTTGCTATTTAGGTTGACCTTTTAATTAACTCTTGGGGCCAGCATAATCAGCTAGATTAAATTGTGTTATGGATGTGTACATAGTTACCCAGGAAAGAGCTTGCTGTGCATGGAATTTTCCTTTCTTTAGTCTAGTCATTATTCTTCATGCCCACACCCTTTAAGAAAGTTGTTTTTCTTGTTTTAGCATAAGCTGAAAGAGATGGTGTCCTCAGGTATTTCATAAAAATCTTACTCTTCTCTGTTCACCTTCTTCAGCATGGATCTGATCCAGCCTTCAAGTGAGAGTCTCCACTTTCTGCTATTGCTCTGGGTTTCTGCCTCTGTGCAAACCTCTTGTATAAAAGACCTAGAGCTTGAGATGGCAGGACAGCCTGTAGGAAAAAGAATAGTTTTTCACATTGGGAAGGAGGTTCTTAACATACTGTGAGGTTTCATCAAGCTTCATCTCCAAGGAGGCACAGACTCTGTGTTCCATGGGCTAATCCCTCCCACCTAGCAAAGCCTAGGGAGTACTGGAGTAATGCCTCTCTAGGAAATGTCCAGCTCACTGAGGAAGAAAGGGCTCTGTTTCTCTTAAAGGGTTACTTAGAGGTCTGCCAAGCCTGGCTCGTTGGTTGCTTGCTGAAGACCCTCTGTGTTGTGAGAATGGTTATTACCAGGGAAGGTTTTTTCTTTTGTTTTACCTGCCATCTAGATGCTGCACAGAATCTCGCAAAGGAACAGAGCGTCGATAAGCCAAGCCAAGACCAGCTGAAGGTAAACCCACTGTCTGGTGGTTTCTTTTGTTGTACAGAGTGCCCCTTCTCTGTACCTGTGCATGGTGGACTGCCAGAACTTTGTGCTGCTTGGCTGCCAGGTCCTCACCTTCCTGAAAAGTTCTCGGAGTCCACAGAACAGGGACAGAGTGACCCTTCTCTGTTCTCTTCATAACAGAGTACCAGTCTCTGAGCGCGTTTCTCTGGGGTGTAGCACTTCTAGTCCTCAGTTCCTCCAGCGTGCTCTGTATTTTCCTGCCTTTCCCCTCCCTGTCTCCCATCCCCTCTCTTGAGTAGGAATTGCCAAATAATAAAGCTTTCTAAAACGTGTGAACAAGTTTTGTGTTGAAGTAGGATTGTTTTCAGAAGCTTTCAGGCAGAATCTGAAACCTAGGAAAAATCTTTGCACGTTCCAACTTGTTTCCTGGTGTATTTTGGGCTTAAGGTACTCTGATCTGGGAGGTGGCTGTTCACATTGGGGGCTGGAGAGTCACAAAGATGGCAGTACTACTGCATTAAAGATGGCAACTTTTGGACTTTTGCCAATCTTTTAAGATTTTTCCTAGGTTGCAAGTATATTGTTTGTGCTGATTACAGATGCATTAGCTGCCTTGAAGGGTTAATAGTGTGTAGTTTTTGTTCAGAAACTTTTTTATTTCTCTTCATATCTTCTTGATCTTTTACTGCAGCTGGTGACTCGGAATGGAAGTGCTACATCCCCTTGTCCCTATAAGCTCTGATGGACTAACATCTGGTTTTTCCTTCCTTCATGCAGTTTAGCTGCCCAGGAGGTTATGACACTGGCGTCACGGAGGGTGAAAGCAATGCTTCTGCTTTGTCTACCTCAGAGCAAAAATGTGAGAATTATGAAGGTGAGTGCCAGCTTTTCTGCAGTAACACAACGTGTACAAGCTCTTCTGCTTGTTCTCCAGTGTGACACGTTGAGCTTTGTGTCGGCAAAATGCTGGAGGAGAGCGTTGGGGAAACTAATAAAAACCTGTTGTGGAATATAATCTTTTTAAATCGTTGTTTTGTGCTAAAGATTGAGAGAACTGCAAATGTTCGCCAAAGGTATTTTTATGATAGACGTGTTTTGTAGCTTGGATATTTGGTCTCATAAATAAACAAACACTTTGAATAAAATGGCAGGTTAAGCCCCAAAAGCACATCTATCACTAAACAATGCCATGAAAAATCTTACAGACCTTGCTGAAGGGTATTTTAAATGCTGAAATTATACTTGTATCTATTTATCTTCCCAAGGGACTCTCTCCTCTGATTACATAGAACACAGCCTGAGCCGTCTACAGGCATTACCTGCAAACTAATCAGGGAACTGAATAACAATAGAATTTTTTTTTCTGTCCAGCTTAAGTGTAATACAGCTCCTTCATATTTAGACATTTCCTTTGTTTTAACATCTGGGGATTTCTTGATGGTTCACTCGTATGGATTTCTGATGTTACAGAAGCAATTTTCCTGTTTTTCTACTTTCTGTTCTCACGTCGTTCTCATATCAAGGAACCTAATTTGTAAAACCAAATCTTTGCAAGCGTGGGTATTTCCAGATCAAATGAGAGCAGAAGATATTTTCCTGGCTGCACGTGTAAAGGAGGTAGAAACAGTCCTTGACTGTGCCTTTGAAACTCTTGGCACTGAAGAGAAAGAGATTCAAGGTTATCTTGAAATTCAGACTGCTGAGTTTAGGATCAGAGACTAAACTGCACAGGCTAAAAAGGAGGCTGAAGCATGGGGTGATGGAGGACAGATTCTTACCTTCCTGCTTCCTATTTTGAGCCTGGTTTCAGAAGTCAGGAGCTCCCATCACTGGAAATTTGAACCAAATTTAAACCAGTTTTTTTCTGCATCTTAAGTCACTCAAGAAATCTACTCAGTGCTGAGTTGGGCAGAGCTCTGAAAGAAGCGGTCGTGTTTCTGTATTGAGTCTTGAAAGTAAGGTAAAGCTGAAGAGAACCTGGGAACACTGGGATGCTTCTCTGACCTCTGATGGCTGTGCAGTGAATATTTTGCCAGGTTGACTTGGGTAGATATATGAGTACAGCTGTGCAGCAGATCTAACATCCCAGTATGCTCATACGAGCCCCAAAGCTCTTAGCAGCAACTGGCTGTAAGGAGCAAGAAAGATTTCTAAAATGGGGCCAAATTTTTCTCTGCTAGTCTCTGAAATAATGTAGGTGTGGCATGACTTAGATTCTACTTGGCTCTTACAGACAAAGACTTAATAGAAAACCTCTCTAAAAGCAAGAAGCCTAAACTGGACCTAGTGTTTGAGGAATGGGATGTAGCTGGTCTTCCATGGTGGTTTTTAGGCAACCTCAGAAGCAATTACAAGTCCAGAAGTAATGGATCAACAGATATTCAGACTAACCAGGTGTGTAGACATTTTAACTAGGTGCACTGTATTCTCTTCCTCTCCTCTTTTGGGTTCCAAGTAAATAAAATATTCTTGTTCTTTCTTTCCCCTTCCCACTCCAGGATTTTCAGCCTCTCCCTTGTGTGTTCCTGTCTCAGCCTTTCACATCAGGTGGTTGGTTACCTTTAGTGTTCTTAAATAAACCAGGTGCTCTCTGAAGGCTGTGTTCAGCCATTGGAGATCTCCAGACCATTGGTTGTATTTCAGGAGTTGCCCCTCTTCTGGGTTGAAAGTTGTTTTATGGTGCAGAGGGCTGTAGTGTGGTGGCCAGCTGCTGTATGGCCGGCTAGCAAGGAGAATAAGCACGGTCCTGCTTGCAAAAAGGGGTGGCTGTGAGAGTAGTGAGCTGCTCCTTTCTCTCCCAGGGGTGATAGAGAAGCTGCCCAGAGCTGAGAAAGCTCTTAGTGAGGAAAAGGGGAGAGGTATTTGGCAATAACTGTGGTGCTGGTACTCCTGCTGCTGCTAACCAGATCTCTAAGTGATGTCCTGTTTCTTCTCCCATCAGGATGTAGACACTGCCATTGTTTCAGATACTACTGATGACTTGTGGTTCCTCAACGAATGCCCGTCAGATCAGAGCAGTGCTGCAGGCAAGGTGGAAACGGTTGACTGCGAGGAAGTGAAAGAAGGTGACAAAAAGGTACCTCTTCAAACAGCCACAGTGCGTGTGTTCCGCACGTTGGTCTTGTTTAATTGATCTCATGGAAATGCCAAATCCTTTGCTTTTCATCTCCTTTTGGTGCTGTGCTGATTTGGGAGGAGCTGTATCTACAACCATCCAGTTTAAACTATGTTTAGAAAAGGCTGTCACCACTCATGGGGTGATTGCTTTCCTGTGTAGTCAGTCTGCTTGGGTTTTGGTTTAAATGGGTGTATTTTCAAAGCACAAAATTCATTTAAAATTAATTAAAATTCTAGCAGCAACTTTACTATATTTCTAGCCAATATCTGCAAGACTAATAACTGAAAAGAAGAGGAAAATCTCAGTTTAGGTTCTGTTAGCATTCATTGTAAGATAGTCAGGCCCTGAGTCTGCTAGCTGAGGTGGTAGTAGGATTGGTCATAAGGGTAATTAATCAAATATGTGTTAAAAGGACTGAGTTAATGATTTCCTCCATGGAAATGAGTAGGACTGCTCAGGTGTGTTTGTATTTGTATGATTCTTGTGCACATCAGAGAGAGGTATGAGTTGACCAAAGGATTATCACCCAGTGACAGTTATGGACAACAGTCTGGAATCGATACTGGACATAAAATGGCATTTGATTCACTTCCAGAAATAGCTTAATTATCCTGGCAATTATATAGTCATTTTAGTTTTGGTGTCCAGTGCCAAGCAGATCATACGTATAGATTATCACACCACTCTAACAACATTTCCACTCTCTCCAGGTGACCGAGGATGTGTGTTTGCATGACTGTGAGAATTCCCAGTGCTTAACTGATGACACGGATACAGAAGCTGCTCCTGAGGTAAGACATCCTTTAGGTCAGTGTTCCTTGCTAGGAGTGTGCAGCATCCTAGCTGTAGTTGGAAAAGCTTGTCCTACAGCTACTACTGCTTGTGGTAGGAGAAAAGCTGATTTTTGTATGGGTTTCAAAGGTGGAGAAAAGCAAAAATCAAGCAAAAAAACCCCCTTTTTTTGTAACTAACATGAAGGAATTTAGGGAAGTTACCTCAACCTGCTCTGGTTTGTTTTGGATAGGGCTCTGTTAAATTCTAAACTGGATGGGCATTGAGCACTGGCAGCCCATGAATGCTGTCACCTACCCAGTCCAAAGACACCAAGTGTCTCTCCTGGCCATGGAGCCTCTTGGAACTTAGGTGATTTCAGCCACTTTTTGTGTCAATGGGAGAGAATTTATACGTGCTCTAACTAGGAGGGGGTGGTTTTGACCAGGAGATCAGGGTCCCTGTTTCTACATTCTTTGTCTCTTTTGTGCCAGGGTAATGTAGTGTCAGCAAGGGCAGCTGCTGGCTTTTTACTCATGATTTAACCTGTCCCTTCACACACTCAGGAAGTGAATGAAAATTAGACTTTCAGTTTCCAGCATCATCAGTCTAATGCTATATGAAGTTAATATTATATCCATGCATGTTTTAATAAGGTTAATTCTGTATTGTCCTCTGAAAGGAAATTTGGAGTATAGTCCTTGGCAGAGATTTGGAAATCTAAAGTAGGCACTTTGTAATCACTGAAGTGCTCATACTCAAAAAAAAAAATCTTGTTAGTGGAAATTTCTGTGTCAGGATCAGGGTTCCTCTGAGTCCTGAGTATCCAGGCCAGCTCTGAAGCTGTCACTTATTTTGTGGTAGTCTCTGGGATGAGAGGAGAATCCAATTCTCATCTCACCCCATTTTTTCTAAGATACTTTTATGGCCTTTGTCAGGAGGAGAGCCTGCATACCTGCTGGTGTAATGTCTTTGCCCTTGCAGTGCCTCTCTAAGGACACACCACAGCTCTTTTCCTTGTTTAAATGAAAAAAACAAAGTGGAAAGAGAGAATAAGCAGTAATTACTGGGTTACCAGCCCTCCCCACTACCCTATTCCTCTTCTGAATTCCCCCTTGATAGATTCTGAGGGACATCAAATTTGTGTTCTTTTCATCTGTCCTTTTTTTCTCCCAGCCCTGCAGGCTGCCTTTTGAGTTTTTCTTTTAAGTCAGCAAAAGTGTATCATGATACTTTTTTTTGCAGCTGATGGCATCAAAATTTTTTAGCATTAGTTTTTAGACTGTGCATACTTGACAAATTAGGATGTCCCTGGCATTGGACATCTGAATTATAGCTCTGAACTCGGGCAGCTCTCGCCCTTGCTATGTGGGGTAGTCATCATAGACTGGTTTGGGTTGGAAGGGACCTTAAAGCTCATCCAGTCCCAACCCCCCTGCCAGCAGCAGGGACACCTTCCACTAGACCAGGTTGCTCAAAGCGTCATCCAACCTGGCCTTGAACACTTCCAGGGAGGAGCAGCCACAACTTCCTTGGGCAACCTGTTCCAGGTTAGTCAAGTTAAGCTGCTTGTTAGTCAAGTGAGCCGCTGTTAGTTGTGCAGATTCAACAGATGTTAAATGATTAGTGAGTCTGGGAAATATATCCCTGACTAATTCAAGGAGCTCTACCCTTGAATTTAGAGTGAGATACTGAAAATTCAATAAACTGCACAGCTTGAGGACATTGTATTCATCCAGAGTGCTGAAGGCTGGGAGGAAGGAAGGACAGATTTTAATGCTTAAGAGATCTGCATCTGTAGAATGCACAGGGGTAAGTCAAATTCTCCTCAGGCTTTCTGAGGTGCTGATAATCCAGCTACCAATCGTGCATTCACAGATAATGGTGCTGATAATCCAGAAGATAATCCACCACAGATAATGGTGCTGATAATCCTGAATATCAGGTGCTGATAATCCAGCTAGCAATCATGTATTCGCAGCCTTGTATTGGCTAATAAATGTCCTTTTTTGATGAAGCTGCTTTGCTGCTTTTCCTAAGTAGAAGAAACGAGTTGTTTACAAGAACACACTAACTTGCTGCTGTTTTTGTCTGCCCCCATCATTCCTCAGGACTGCTGGCAATGCACGAAATGCAAGAAATTTAACTCTCCAGGCAAACGGTACTGCTACCGCTGCTGGGCCTTACGGAAAGACTGGTACTCAGATTGTCCCAAACTTGCTCATTCTCTTTCTCTGTCCAACATTGATACTATGCAAAACAAAAATGATGATAAAGGGATAGATGTCCCGGACTGCCGAAGGACTATTTCTGCTCCAGTTGGCCAACCCAAAGATCTGTACGTTGGAGAAAACAAATCACGTGTAGATCCCTGCAGCTCTATTGAGTCTTTGGATTTGGCACGAGAATGTGAAAGCAAGAAGTCTCTGTTGCATTTCACTGAGCATAAAAAGGAGGAAGAAATACAGTCTTTAGAGAGTATAAAAAAATTACTGAATCCTTGCTTCTTATGCCATCACAGACCACGGGATGGGAATATTGTCCATGGAAGGACTGCTCACCTTGTGGCCTGTTTCAAGTGTGCAAAGATGCTGAAAAAAAAGAGATCACCTTGCCCAGTGTGCAGGAAAGAGATTGAGATGGTGATCAGGATCTTTATGGGATAGTTGTGCCAGTTCAGGCCTTCTCCACAAAAGACAGCACACAGGTTTTCTTGCACTCACGCAAACCCTAACTTCAGAGCTCAGCCGGTGAATACCAAAGAGAATTAAGACTCAAATCTGACCAAGAACACGGAGGAATTCTCAGCATTAAATGAAGTAGCATCCACTTTTCAATGTCCATTTAAATTAAAGTCCATAGGGAGCAAGGGAGTGACTACCACATTGGTATTGATGTGCTAGCTTCAAAATTGTCTAAATATTCTAATTTCAGCTCAGTGGTGTCACTGGGATTCTCTGTTCTGATAACTGGTCCTTGCAGAAAATAAGTTGTGGAAAGAGTTATAACTTTGGCTGTTGGAGTGTTGTTCTCCAGTAAGTCAAACCCTGTGCAATGCCTTCTAAGGGGGGAGTCTGCATCTGAGAAATATATATATATATGCAGGGGTGGGCAAGAGGGCGGGAGGGAAGGGTAGACCAAGGTGTTTGCAATTTAGATAAGCCATTTCTCCAAGGATCAGTTCTCCTGAAGGCAGTGAGAAGTAAATAACCTGGTTTCTGAATTATTTTTATTTTGTTCAATGTAGGTTTGTTGGATAAGGTGAAGGTCCTCTTGCTGCCAGACTTGAAATAACTGCTCCCAAACTTTTAGTGCATAGCTATCTCAGGTCACATATCAGATGGCAAAAGAATAGGGTGTTTTATTTTGCTTTGCTATGGAATCTTTGAACTTCTATTGATTTTTTTTTCGTTTATATACAGTTCTATGTCATCTTGCATAGCTTTGATGAAGCCTGTCCAATGTTAGCTCAGAATCTGGTTTGCCAGCTGGATTAAATGATAACAGCTCTTTGCACATTTTGGGATGTTCTCCTAGCTCTGTGCTTACAGCACCATTGCAGCTTCTACCTGCCTTATCTCAGGCCAGTCTAGATAGAAGATGCTCACGTTAGAGAGTGATGTGGCTTTAATGGCAGGATATGGGCTTTTAAAGGAAAAAAAATAACTCCTGTAAAGCACCAGTTGCAGCTGGTTAGTCTGTGGGCTGTGCTTGGTGTTAGTTTATTTAATTTTCTTGACTGATTTTCTTTCCATCTGATTTAACACTTCAAATCTCTTTACAGTGTTTACATTGTCCTTCAGAGCTACGCATGGTTTCTCTACTGGCTGGTAAAACTCAGCTAGAACTTGCAGTCTACAAACATCTAACCCTTTTCTGAGATCATACCCTACAGCATGCTCAGATCTTCATCATCCTTCCTGTTCTCCAGGGCTCTGGAGAGCTTGCATCATGCAGCAGTAGCATTAGTACCTTCACCTTCCAGCTATACAGGCATTTGAATTCAGTGCAGTGTGTAGAATAAACCCTGTTTTGTCATCTTCTCTATAATCCCCTCTCTGATCTAGGTAGTACACTTCAAGACACAACAGAAAAAAAAAAGGATAGTGCTCATACCTTGGTGTTTCTCTTGGCTGTTTCCTCGTTGTTTTCCACACTCCTTGTGCTGGTCCAGCCCTGGCAGGTCAGGTGTGCAGTGGAAGGTCTCAGAACCTGCCCAGCAGAAGGTCCAAGCAAACTGCGATGTCCAAGGTGTTGTTTCTCTGCAGAGATATCAGAGTAGGTGCTATATGCAATCGCTGCCTATCACTGCCAAAACTCAGATCCACTTTGTGTTTTGCATAATATTGTGATTATTTCTATGATGTTGGCTATAATTTAGACTATTACTGTTGGCTGTCATTTACAGTTGTGTTTTAAAAATCAGAGGATAACTGGTGTTTTGTTTTGGTGCACTATCTGTAAGTCCATGGGAATCAATCCCTGTGGAAAAGCTGACTTATTGCACCCTTAGCTAAAGGGCTCTTAAATTGCTGGTGATGCACTTTAATTATGCTAAGATGAGCAGCGTTAAGGCCTGGAATCACAGAAGGGAGTTCCTGCCAGGTAGTTCCTTCCCTTTTCAGGTAATTTCTTTCCTTTTTAGGGTCTCGGGCTCAGCAGGATGTGTTGTGGCACTTCCAAATACTGTGAATTCCCTCTCATCCAGATCACATCTGAGAACTAAGTGTTTTGCTAAAAGCAGTTTTATTGAATTGTTCAGATCTGGCCACACTGAAAAGCATATAATTTGTGTTGACCACAAAAAGTCAGGAGTCAGGAGAGTTAAGTTGCAGTAATGGGATTGAACATCCCTCCCAAAATCCTACTGAGATCTATATGCAGCTTCCATTAGTAAATGAAAATTGTTGTCAGTGTGGCTGTTAGTGATAAAAAGCAAATCTGCAGGATAACTTTCAGTGTAACGATCTTTGTACCTGTGACTTCTTATTCAGTGTAACCACGGTGTTTACAACATGTGTTTGTCCAGTTCTTATATATTTTTAACTGAAATAGTTAGCAGACATAAGATATCCCAATGTTACAGTTGATTTTCCTTCCTATAGAAGAATAAGCTATTGCAGTGGCAGCACATTGTGTGAGGCTGTAACTGCCCAGGTTGTGGCTGGGGGGTTAAAGGGGGGGGTTTGGTGCAGGAGAAGGGGAGAAGAACATTTTATAGCTTTAACTTAAAATCTAAGTCTGTATAACTAGCAATTTATTAAGAGCTGCTCTTCTGACAGTGTAGGAAGTGCAGACAAGGGATGGGTTGAAGAACAAGCTGAAAGCACGTGGCTGCAACACTTAACGTTGCAGCACGTATGAGATACTGGTCAGACAGTGCTATTATTGCTAATTATTAATTAATTGCAGTTAATGTGGAGTTCTAACACAAAAAAACATTGTTTGAAGGAGCTGAGCATTTACCTGAGATGAGCGTGAACTCAAGTTCTCTGAACATGACACTGGTGTCTCGTAGCAGATGACAGTTCTTCTCTCTGATAGTGGTTTTACTATGAAGTGCAATATGAGAGGAGGTCCTTGGTAGGCTTCACCAGTCATCACTGCATGTCTGTTAGGAGAGTGTTGAGCTCAGCTGTCTTTTGATGCCCAGACTAAAAAAGTTTATCCATTTAACTGCTTTTTTTAATTATTATTATTTTTATTTTTTCTCTGTGACGTTGGTTGCTGTTCTTCAGGAACCTGCTGAAGTCTCACTAGCACAAATATACCTGTAGGTCAGGTTTAATTTTCTAGATCCCTCAGCTTTTCAGCCAGAAGTTTTTGGCACCAGTTATCCCCAACACCAGCACATTTCTTTGGTGGATATTTAAATATAGTACGAGAACGATGAAGCTCGCAACCGTATCCCGCTGTTCAGCCCATTATAGTGTTCTGCAGCGTGAGACCGTATGGAGATATAAACTCTCTGTCTTGGCAGCCAGAGGTACACACTTTGCATTTACTCCTGAAAGTCTTTCCAGTTGAAGTGCCTCTTCTCAGTTGCTCTCAGTGACTCTTTGTTTACCGACACGCACAGCACATCAGCCTTTTCTTCAGCGCTCTCTTCAAAAAATCTCAGTGTCCTTCCTCTGCTGAGGTGCGTTATTGAGCCAATTTAACCTCGACAAAACCTCTATGTGAATTACAAAGATCCTTTGGAGCAGCCCTCCAGAGTGCTTCTTTCTTCTGGGTAGGTGTTGCCATGAAGATAACTTAGGAACTTTCTGCCTGTGTTATGTTTTTCTTACGGTGCATGACTGTGATGGAAACCATAACGCAGCTTGCCAGGGTCTGCTCCATCCTTCTGTGTCCAACGTGGATTGTATCTGCTCCCGAGAAGCTGTCCTTGCAGAGAAAAAGTGGCTGTTGGACAAATGGAAGTGGAAATGGAGTGGAAACTTGAGTGTCTCAAAATGCACCAGGGTAGCTTGCTTTTGCCTGCTCACACGCTGCCTGTTCTGAGCTTCATCTTCCAGTCCTGGAAGAAAAAAAGAAACAAACTCAAATACTCTCTAGAGGCCTTCAGTGAAGGCTGACCACTTTGGAAGGTGGTGTGATTAAGTAACTGAAGAAAGAGCCAGGGCATTGGTCTCCGTTCTGGCTTTGTCCATAAGCTGAGCAAGGAACTCCTCAAGTCCTGTGCCTGGACATTGGCAAACAGCATCAGGATCCTTCAAAAGGAGATACCGTGAGGCTGTTCTATCAAGAGCAAGAATAAGACCCACAATGACATTGGGGTGATAAACGGTGCGTTTGGAACAGCTCTGGAAGCACAAATGACCTTCAGACAGCAGCTTTTCTGCTCTGGAAAATCCTCTTTCAGTTTTCTGTCCACAACATTTGGAATTTTCCTTGCTCCTTTGAAAAGAAGTGAGATCCTGCTTGTGAGTACATGGTAATATCTGGCCAGCAGAAAGGTCAGCTGCCACAAGCAGGGTTACACATCCCATCAGTTGGTTCCTGCACCTTATTATGATTAATCCAGGCAGCTGTTGTGATTACAATTTCTTTTTCTCTGTGCTCTTTCACCCTGGTAATGTGCAATTGCTGCCCACGCACCTGTGTGGACACCCCATGCCTACCACACTGAGGAGATGCTTCAAGAAGACGTAGCCTCTGAACCCTGCAATTATCTTCAGAGTCTCCAACTCCTAGAAGACATAACCACCTCTGAGGATCAGTGAGATACATGAAGAAGGCAGGAACACTTTGTACCTCTGGCAAAGAGAAAGACTTGCTGTTCTGGAAAGAGCGATTTCCTGCTGGATCTCCCCAGCACCTTCCCTGCAGCTCGTTGTTCCCGGATAGATTGTTCTTGTTCTTGTGTCTCAATGCACACCCACACAGTCACTGCAGTGACAAGCAGGAACGCTCATTGAACAACATCTGTGTGTTTGCACTATTTAAAAAAGGCATGTATCACAAAACTGATGACCTGTTTGTGTGTTCTGCGCGTAATGAGTTTAATTAAATGGAGCGCATTCGACGATAACAGAGGTTTATTTTTTCATTTGTACTGTATTTCAGGGAAAAAACCTTTTAAGTAAAGAACTGTTACTGGGTAAGCAGGTTGTGACCTTCCTGTATGTCCACCTTTCCAGGGAGGGAGAGACCTCCCATCCCT